TTAGACTGCTTGCTCTTGACAAGCATGTCGTCCACATACACTTCCATATTCCGGCCGATCTGCTTGGCGAACATTTTGTTCACCATTCTCTGGTAGGTCGCTCCTGCGTTCTTTAACCCGAAGGGCATGACCTTGTAGCAGTACAGACCTTGGTCTGTTATGAAAGCAGTATGACCTTSATCTGGGACATGCATCTTGATTTGGTTGTACCCAGAGTRGGCGTCCATGAAGGTGAGCAGTTCGTGCCCGGCTGTGGCGTCCACGAGCTGATCAATCCTCGGCAGTGGGAAGCAATCTTTCGGRCATGYCTTATTTAAGTTCGTAAAATCTACGCACATTCTYCACTTKCCGTTAGATTTTTTAACTAATACAACATTGGAGAGCCAYTCGGGATACGAAATTTYTCTTATGTATTCAGCTTTCAAAAGTTTGYTAACTTCCTCAACAATTACATCACTCCTCTCCTTGTTTATAGGTCTTCTCTTTTGTTTCACARGTCGGAATGATGGATCTATGCTGAGGCGATGCGTCATAATTCGCGGGTCAATGCCAGGCATGTCCTCATGGGACCACGCAAAGACGTCCGAGTTGGATCTGAGGAAGTGGATTAGCTCCTCTCTGTCGGTGGCCCCAAGCTTGGTTCCTATGCTTACCTGCTTCTCGGGACTGAGCAGAGGAACAAGCTCGAGCTCCTCAATGGGTGCGGCAAACTCCTTCCTCGGCAGGTCGGCCTCGAACTCGAGCGTCCCATCCCTACCGGCGAGAGTTTCGAGGGCGCAGACCGATGAACCTTTGAGTGCGGAGGACCTTCTAGTAGTCGGATATGGTCAAGCTGAGACCTGGTCGGCCGAGACCTTGTGACGTAGCTCGCTTGTCGGGTCTAGTTTTGTCTTCCCATAACATTACTAAGATTTTCTAAAATCGGATCGAATGTATAATCATTATTAGTGTATCACTCTCTTCTTTCTAGCTAATTACAAATACATTATTGTTCTCTTTTTTCAATTACAATAATAATAAATTTTAATTTATTTTATTATTATATTGTTGATAGAAAATATTTTTATTACAGCAATTTATTTAATATTAATAAATAATGAATAATTAAAATAAAATTAATTCAACTAAAATACTTTTATTTGAACGAATATCATTTAATATAAAATACTATTAAATTTCATTATTATAATATTTAATAATAATTAATTCTATTTTAAAAAGTCTATTTATATTAATTAATAACAATAAAGTAAAATTAACAAATTAAAAATAATTTTATTATATTTTATAATAAAATTGCATCAACTCATATAAATTTTTATTAGAAGAAAAATTATTAGTAGTATAAATGAAAAATATAATAATAAAAATATAAAACAATTAATTAAAAAAGGCTCTGGAAACAAGTTATTAAAACCCACAGAATAGGGAATGAAAATGAAATTAATGAGATGATAGGAGAAAAAATAAGATAACACCTTCTTAGAGGTACAAAGTTTGAAGTGGGTCCTGCTGTTTGATTTCATTCATAAAATTTGGTAAACACTATAAAAATACTGTAAAAAAGACATCCCTCGACGTAAACATGGCCTGTTAAATCTTTAAATGATTCAAGAAGGCATTCTTTGAGCAATGTAAACTTAAACAATAACAAAGGGGTCAACAACCCAGCAGAAGACTTGAAGGAATTAACTATTAACAATACAAAGGCCTCACTTTCATTAAACACCACCATAGCTTATTACATTAAGGACAGAATATCACATCATATTATATACGGTTTAAACTACAATAAATTATAAAGACTAGAGTAGAAGGAAGAGTAAGTATACAGTGTGGTCAATCTTTTTTCGAGCGGTTTCCTTCTCAGTTTTTTTAACATCAGAATCATCCAATCAAACACATTCATATCCACTGCTCTCAACCGCCACATTTCTCTTGCTCTGCGCCATGGATATAAGGCTATGTGATTCTTTACATTTCGGCCATTTTGATATCTTCCTTTTTTCATTCTTCCTCAGCCTCGAGGCCACAGACTTGATACCATCCCTTAAATAACTCACCATGAAAGTCACAACCTCTCTGCATGTACACAAAACAAACCAATAATTAAAGAACCAATGTATGCTTAAACCAGTTTACAATATATCTATACTATGCGGGCTTCGCGGTTATCAGATTCAAATACAATGAACTGACTAAATCTAGCATTTTTCAGGTCTTTTGTTAAGAGCCAACAGTTCTTGATGAGGTTTTGGTTACTAAGAGGCAAAAGGGGACTATAGGTCCCACGTTAAGGAGGGTGTCATTTTCAGAAGGAATGGGATCATGTAAACTGACAAGTAATACAAGCCTTATGAGTTTAAATGTAATTGATATTTGATACTTACAATAGGGAGCATGGAGATCGACCGCCATTTACATAGTAAATGAACAAGTATGAATCATAATGCTGGCCATTGATAAAGTAAAAGCCAGGCAGTCTTTGTAGGCACTTGAATGACATTTTCTTGTAGAATTTGATTGCAGGACTATTGTATGAAATTACGTGCAAATAAGCTGCTCGGCAAGTTGGGATGCTTGAGGCATATTTAATTACCTTTTGAACAAGTGAACTAGCTGCAACACGATTCAATGCATCAAATTGCTGATGATTTGAAGACATGACATCAGTATTACAAAATCAGAGATAGTTCTAACAAACTCGTACCTATCCCAAGGTTTCTGTAGGTTTCCACTACTCCCAGTGTAAGAATGTATACTAGAGTTTGATCCGTGGTTAATGAATCATGCCGAAGCAAATCAGATATCTACAAGCATTTAAGTTGTACTAATTAGAGATACCCAGTTTAAAACATCCAAGAGAAACGATCTCAGCTGCAAAAGTAGCAGAAAAGACATTGTTGAGAGATTAGAGTTAAGTCAATTGTACGAAGTATCCACCCACCAATTACACATTCAACATAGAGTTTCTTGACATTGATCCACTTTAAAGCCTGACGGTCGCTTGGAAGTACTTAGAACCAGTTAAGGATAACTTCAACCATCGTTTTATAAGAATTATTCAAAATTCACCTGGTGCCAGTGATCAAATAGCAATATTCACATTTTGTAACGTTTTATGTGTGCTTAACCACCTGAGCTTCCAGGCCACTAATATAACCTGCCACATGCTTAAAGAACTTCTCAACATTCTTTTAACCAATCCAGGAACTCTATTAAACTTCACAGAAAAGGATGAAAGACCAAACTTCAAACAAATATGTCAGTACTCTTGCAGCCAAAGTATGTTCTCAAAGTTGTGGACTTCTCAAAGCCCACCAACCATGCTTCGTACCAATGAATTTGAAGTCCTAATCACTTGCACTTAAAGTTTGTCTTCCTCATTGTTGATGTACAATGTTTCAGATTTTCAAAGGTCTTTATGGCAATTTGTACAAGGAAGGAACGCTGAGAATTGTAAATCTCTTCTTTAATTGTCTCTTCAATCATGAAGACTTTAGATCTCTTTATTTTTTAAAATATACACCTTTCACTGATTTACTGAAAAGTGTTAAATGACCCCACGTGCAAAAAATTAAAAAAATAAGTTTACTTCTCCTGAGGTCAGATATTAATTTGATTCAAAGAGTCCTGCACGTGAACTACATCAATTGGAAAAAATATATATATATATATGACAATATAAGGATACAAACTCTTGCTCTAAATACCTTTATATTTTTTTTTTTAGTAAAAGGCGAAAGAATAGTTCGCTCTATGCTCACCGCGCGGCTGCATTATAAATACCTTTATATTGTCATCAACAATAAATATCTTACACCTCCTTTGTTCTGTAGACATCTTTTTTCACTAAGCTACTCATATTGAGCTTTTACTGCTCAATTGTAGACATCTTTTTTCCCCGGTAAGAAATAATAGATTTCAATTAACAATCCAAGGGTACAAAAGAGGGTAAAGAGACAAGACATATCCATCCCAAACCCTAAGCCAGGAGATTACAAAAAAGGACCCCAATCAAGATTAATAAGAGTTAAATTTCTTCAAGCAGCCCCCTTCTTAGCTCTTGGTGCCTGCTTTAGCCAACTTTCTTAGAAAACCTTATCCAAAATTGTTCAACAGGAAGCAATATATCGTACAATCTCCCAGAAAAAACAAAAATCTCCATGCTGATCCTTAAATTTTTTGTTATTTTTCTCTACCCCTAGGAACCAAAGAAGAGCACTAGTAGCATTTTCCCAAAGGACTTTCGACTTTCCCCTAAACTACCAATCTGATAAGACCTCTAGGAGCACCATGTTGATATCTATATGGAAAGTAGAGGACCAGAGTGGAGGAAGCATAATGACAATTAATGAATTAAGGGATCTACAAAATTTCAGCGTACTTGAGGGGAAGAGCAAGATGGGGGTAGCTTAACCTGAGCTTTGAGGCTTTTGGTAGGCTATGGGCTACGAGAACTTGACTTTTTGGAATTTTTCCTTTCCAAATCAAGATTTAGAAGTGAACCTTTCAAGCTCTGTATTGGCAGCATCGAGACAACCGTCATCTAATTTGGTGGAAAACATACCCAGGGGCTCTATAGACCACACCAAAAGGTCCTCACATTGTGTAGGAATGATATCTATTATAAGCTTAGTAGTTAGAGGCCAACCACTATTCAAAGTCCCAGTCAACTCCAAGCATATATCTTAAACTCAATTTCCAATCAAGATCATCCCCCTTCCAGTCTGTAATTATTCTTTCTTTGGACAAAGAAATGGTATAAAGTTTAGGGAACCCAATGCTTGAAGGTGGGAAAAAAGCCAAGTCCTCCCAAAATCTCGCCCTACTGCCATTGCCAACTTGAAAGAAATACATTCTTCCCAGAACCTTCTACATTTGGCTATATAAAACCAAGGGCATCAAGAGCAACCAAGATGCAGCCGGTTAAGAGACCAGCCTAGCTGATTTAGGTCATAAATATTGATTATAATCTCCCTCCACATTTGGAGAGGAAAGCAAGGTTTTTCGTTTTGGATGTCGCCAAATGTTTAGTTCACCCAAACTCCTTCCACAAACACTTCCAGCTATATCCAAATAACTTAACAGTATGATCTAAATTTACAATGTTAAAAAGACGATGCAATCTAAATGTTCCTTTCATGAAAGGTTTATAATATAAACAACAACAAAGGTCTTCCTGTAGGAAAGAAACTGAGCTATTTTACTAAATATCCCTTATCAGTTAGTTCTTGAACCTGACCAATGACCATGAACAGTTCAATATTCTTAGGGGCTCATCAAACGTTAGGTAAACTGGGAAGTACAAAGCTAGGACAAACTCAATTTGATATCAGATGTCCACTGAAGGTGGTCATAAATTTTTTGGAAGATCCTGCAAATCTTCTCGAAGTTCCGGAAGATTAGAATACTGTCCAAACGGAGGAGTTAACTCAGTAATTTATGTTTTCTAAACGCAGGCAAATCTTCTTTCTTTGCTTGGAGGCAAGAGGTACATATACAAAATACATCTGAGTAAAGAGTGGTGCATATAATTTATACAGACACATAATCACGGATTGTAAATAATAGAAATAACACGATAGCATATCAATGAAATAAATAATTGGACATAACTCAGTTCGTATTTGATCAAATAAGTTTGATGCCACATAAATCCAAGAGATAATGAATGGAAAAGGACAAAAAGGGATTCTTTAATCAATAAAGGGGCAACTAAAAATGCAACAAAAAAGCACAACGATTGCTCGAGTGAAAGTGCTCCTGAAGAACAATCACAAAGTGCACCTAATGCACCTCCCCTCGCCCGTTGCCATAGGAATTGGTCGAGTTCGCCTTGAAAGCACCGACTATAATTCTTGTTATTAGGTTCCACAAGCCCCCCATATAAGCCACAAGCCACCCAAGATTCGAAATTGGACTAAAAAAATCCCCTCACTAGTACTATTGAAGATTAGGAGATCTTAAACCAAGCCTAGTAATTCCGCAAGATCAAACGTGGAGGAACATTTTCAGCTTGAAAAAGCAAGGTCAAGGAACATGGCATGAAAATGTTATTTTCCAACAACAAGCAGCATGATGGATTTCATGTGACCTTGAAATTTTTTCCTGGATTATGATAACTTTAAAAAAAACAATGATATCCGAATCTATTAGTTTCATACATCAGGTTTATACATCCAAATGCTCAAAGGTCTGAACTATAACAGCTTACACTTTTTATTTTGTATAAAAAGGAATATTTAGACTAACCATTGAGCATACAAAAATGTAAAACATTGAAAAATCTAGAAATTGAAGTACTAATTGTCTAATTCTGATACTTACTCTATAAACTACTACATTAACTACATAATATCGAATATCTAATGCCAACATGAACTTCTACATTAACTACAATTTTTTTCCAAGAAAACTTCCAAATTTGACCATGGAAAAATTTTTGATAACCCGAAATGGATAGCTCTTTTAGCTTTTTACCCCTGTAACGGGATGCATTCGGACCCAAGAGACATTAAAGATTTTTGGTATTAAGCTCACCGATCACCCAAATGACTTGAACATAAGACCTATGGTAGGTGATACCGCAATGCCACATAAAAGCCGGAAAGTCAAATGTTTATATGAAAATCAGTATAAACACTATGAACTATAAATCTACAAAGCATAAGGAAAACCCACCTCACTGTCTTTTGCCATAACAGTTCGAGCAGTCACAAACCCAATAAGCTCATCACTTCTGCCATCTGGTCTACTATGAGCAACCGCCGCCCACGACACAATGTCGCGTCCATTGACAACATTCTGAAAAAACTCTGACTCATACCTGAGAAATCCATACTCGTTGTGTCAATTTCAAAATCACATCTCAAAACCGTAACGAAGCCTGCCCTCAATCGAATTTACATACCTGATAGGGAACAAGTTGCCGTGGATTTGCTCCAAAACTTCCCGGTCTGAGGGTTCTATTGGGCGATAACATATGGTTGGACAGTCGATGGCTTTCGGTTTTACCATTTCAAAAGATTTCAATCCCCAGCAAAGAATTTATACGCTCGCAAACATTGACCTACACATTCATTTTCCATTTATAAACATCGGCATCATATGCTATGCAATTATTCCTTTCCTGCGCAAATCAGAAAAGTAATCTTGTTCATCAATAAGCCTCTCGGCCTTTTATGGTAAGCAATAAAAATAATAATAATTTACCTGAGACCGGATGTAGAAATCGAGTCAAAAAACAGGAACGGTTTCAACATGGTGGTCGATTTGATTGCTTAACAACGCACCAATTCCATCTTATAGACTCAATAATGGGATTCGAATTAAACAGGTGGGGACTTGTTAGGGCTTTTGGTTCTTATCCAATCTCCCATTGTAATTTCTCTTCAAAATAAATATATTTTTATTCTCCAAAATTTTAGAATTTTATTTTTTTGAATATTGTATACTTATGTTGGAATTTGAAGCTCTAATCTCACCTAAATAGGTAGATGTAACATAACTATGTAGTCGTAACATATTTATATTTAGAATTTCACGATACTATAAAGTGAATATTTGGATTTATGAACTCTCGAAGATCTTATTAAATTATTTATAACAGATAATGTATTTATATTTATTATTAAAAAAATAGAGAAAAAGATAAAAGTTCAATTTAATTCGTAATTTTAAATAGATAATATTGGATGAGACTACTTTGGAAGGGTTTGTTCTAATATGTTGGCTTTGGTTTTAATTAGTTAGATTCAGGCATTTTGTTGGTTAGTTTGAAGTATTTGGTGATTAGGTTTGGACGTTGATTCGACTGAAATAGTTGGTTGAACAAACAAAATTTTAATTTAGTTTTGCATTGATTATTCAATTTTTCAAGGTTTAAATTGATAAAATTAAAGTTTATAGTCAAAATTGGCCTAATTGTAGGGGTATCAACTATCTTTTTCCCGTTTCAAAATATCAAATTATATATATATTGTTTTACATTATCAAATTATATTTGTTGTACCTTGTTTTAATTCAATTTCTATACTTACTAATCTGATTACTTACCTCTTTTAATCTAAGTTTAGAGGTATTTACAAAAACAAATGTATATTTAAAAAAAAAGGCATAAAGTTTAAAATTTTACAAAAAAAAAAAAGAAAAAGCATAGTCAAAATCAAACTTTAACTCGAATGTAATATAAAACACACTAAGAAAAGTCAAATACATGCTACATTTGAAAATAATAATAATAATCACATATTTTAAAATACACGTTAAATTTAAGATATGTCATGTAATTTCTCTAAAGTTTATTATACGCATATCACTGGTACAGACTAATATAAATATATAAATCTAATGTAACAAATTATCTATAAATATTTAGAATGAGCTACAATGTGTTATTATTTAAATTCCTATTGCAAGTCATACTAATTATAAAAAGAAATTGAATTTGACTTAAATTCTAATAAAGTATTTTCATTGAATTGGAGATAGATACATTAACCAATTGTGTCGTGTTCATATTGGCAAATTAAATTACTGTCGAACCATTAACAATGTTTCAAACGTGTAAAATAATTTTATACTTGTATGTTTTTTTTTTTTTCTGGAAATATACTTGCATGTTTCACCTTGTAGAGCAACCACACATAGTATGTTACATTTGACATTCTATTTTTATCACTTCTTATAATGATGAATTGTATAAACAATGATGATGATTATTATTATTATTTTTTGTTCTGTTAAGTTAGAAATACAGCAAAACAAAGTGAATTCAAACTGCAATTTTCAAATTTTTCTTAAATTTTTCTTTATCAATTTTCTGACTAGTTGAACTATGTTTACACAATAATAACTTAGTATACAGTTACGTTATTAATAACATGGACATTTATTTACTAAGGACCTTCATTTAATAGTGGGGCATTTTCTCTAAATAAATTAATTGGCCTAACTTAAAAGTAAAGAATGATAATTATCTTGATTACCATGGTAAAAGTTAATAAGGATGCATTCGAATAGATCCATGTTCGACGCGTTAATCGGGAGTTGAATGATCCTGCTCATGCCCTTGCGAAATATGATCTCCGCAATTCCGCAATCGTGTTTCTACTCTCTGGATTTCTAGTTTTCATGTTTGGCTCCATCGTGTGGTGGAGAGAGATTTATCTTCTTTTGATGTCCTAACCGCGTGTTGAGTTAGATTTTTTGTTTCTTAGTTAAAAAAAAAACAACGCTATATCCGTAACTACCTTTTAAACATGATCATGTTTGTAATTTTGCAATTACATTTACCCGAATACATATATAAAAATTGAAAACCATTTTTAAAATGGATTGCTTGCTAATTTCCTTAATATAATTTTTGAAGAGTTGGGAAAGTGAACGTAAACTTCATCAAAATTGAACGTACAAAACGATGCAGTCAAATTTCTCACATATTTGTTCTTAAAATGGGGCTTAATTAATTAACTACTCCTATTTAGCTAATAATAAACCTGCTTTCTCTCAATTTTCAGACAAGGTCCACAACAGAGTTGATATTGGTATTCGAACAAAAGTACCTGGTATTGACTTTTATGACATTTAACTAACGAAACAACAAATACTTGCATTCGTACTAATACGAAAATTGAAGAATTGCTGGTACTAGCGATTTATTTTTCGTTTTTGTTAGGAAAAAAAAAAGCAGTAAATAAGATAAGTTTAAGACAATCATCAAAAACGACAAGTAATGGTACATTAGAAAAGGTAGGTTATACCTTGAAACACAATATATTTTTATTTTTTAGCACTAAAGATGATAGTGAAAGAAGATTTTCAACATACAACTTATGGGGAGAGGTACTAAATACTGACCATCTGTACTATGCTCGGGTTATTGGCTTGGTGTGTGTTATTATAATTGCCAATTTTTATTAACCCTTTACAGTAATCGAAAGACCGATGAACTGATAGAATCCTGAGTAAATTTGAAGATCCATGAAATCAAATCAAAACTGTCCAAAACTTCTAAACACCCTTTGATTCACTGGCCTTCCATTTACTCTAGAATCCAGCAATGCTTCAGTTCATTTACCTGTTGAAACCATCAGATATATAAAACTAGTCACTAGCTTCAAAATGAAAATGAAAATTTACTCACTATTTCTTCATTTTGGTTTTCACCCTTGTAGACAAATCTTAAAAATAATAACAAGTTTCGAGAACTTTTATACTTCTAGATTTAAAAAAATTGGATGGGGTTCTAAAAACATTTTAAAGAAAGTAGATAACAAAACATGTGAGTGAAAAACGATTCGATTATCAAATGGAAACGGACACTAATATGCATGGCGCATTTTTTCTAAGATGAGTAAAACTTGTTTTACAAAAAGTGTAGCACAAGAAGGTCAAGAAGAACTAGGCATCCTCTTGAGACCTAGGCCAAAGTAGACTACAAAAATTATCTCCATGTAGAGATAAAAAAACAGAATATTTACCTCTCAAATCAGACACTACCCCACAGCACCTTTTTGAATGCTATCCTTGAAAAAATTTGTGATTAAATTTGTGATTTCTTTCTTTCTAAATTTTCCCTAATAGCCGTAACCGTATCCGAGCCACAGGCACGTGACAGCTTGTCGCCACATGCCAGACAGGAAACGGCCATAGCAATCCAGAAGAACTTGGGTTTCCCCTAAAATGGTGACAAAGTCAAAATTATAACCTGGATTTTTCTAAGAAGGGAGGGTGTGGGTTGGGTGAGATGAACAAACATCAATGTGTATGTGAAAGATTTTGGTTTCTACAACTTCTACACTTGGGTTTCCAAAGAGAGAGAATGGAATAGTTTGCAATCTAAGACGTCAGATCCAGCGAGTCGTTGAACTCACCCGTCATTAACAAGCACTTATATAATTCAAGACCCAAGAGGAAGAATCCTTGTTCAACACAGTGGCTATGCTAGCCAGATAACTTCAAAAGGATATGAAGATCAGAAACCGAGACATAGCTGATCCCTAAAGTTAAGAAATGAAACTTAGGACTAAGACTGCTACCAGATCTCACGTGATTAAGAATAACACTTCAAAGATTGCAAAATATATCTGCCAACAATCAATTTGAACCAGAGGGATTTTCAGAGGAAGCCTCCAAACTGTCTAAAGAAGGAAAATATCAAAGATGCTAAAGGGATAATGCACTTTAACATGGAGAAAACGATTGAAATGAAATTCAGCTATAAGACTGTATTCACCATTGAGAAACATTATATACACCAATTGCATTACGAAGATAAGATATTCAAACTTCACTATAACTTATAATACAATAGCAGATCAACTCACCATAGTTCTGCCGGACCATGGTAAACTTGTAAATGGCCTTTACTAGGGAACCATATTTCATGGACTTCAATGCTCCCATGTGTCTGCAGTACAATATAAATCAGAACTCAAATAATTCTCTAGCCAAAAATTATTACAAAAGTGTATGGAACTTTTTGTCAACAAGAATATAATGCTATTAAATTGAAGACTTTTGGAAAAAGTGCGATTCAAAGGACACAGCTAGAAGACAACATTAAAGCTAGATATGCAATTTGGAAAGAGGAACAAGCCAGAAGAAAAGTGAAGTAGAAGAAAAACATAGATACATATATTTTGTGTTGGTTTAGACACAAATTGATTCATTTCATAGGTAAAGGTTCCACGCCCCATCAAATAGGCTTTCTCAGACCACCAAAGGAAAAACAAAGTTTGTCTTCGACAAGTATATCACCCATACAACCGTAAAAAAAGTTCAATATAAAAAACAAAATTACTCTATTGGTGGGCAGTATTTGTTCTACTTCTGGGGGAACTGAAAGGAAACAAAGCACAGAATGAGCGTAGGAATAAGGAGTCAGCATAGGGTTGTGGAGGGATTTAAGAAGAAACTATCGCAAGTCTCCATTCAGAACAATTTCAATAACCTTATATGAAGTTTTCCCAGTCAAGTGTCAAGCAACTGGGAACAAACTTGACTTAGCCTCAAGTTGAAACAGTTAGATAAAAATTGGATTTTGGGAAGACTCTTGGGTGGCAGATAACTCTTTCAAATATAGGTTCCTAAGACTGTACTAGCTTGCTCTCCCAAAAGGTTGCTTGATAAAAAATTGATGGGTTGAAATCAGGAAAATTAGAACCTCGTATTTAGGCATAATCTGCAGGGTTGGGAAATTGTTGAGGGCAGAACAGATATTAGCTATCCTAGCCTGATTACAACTCATGAATATCCCTGATAAGAGATTCGGTGCTTTGAACAGTCTAAGCCTTTTCCATTAAGTCATAAGGCAAGAAACTTTGGGAACAAGAAGATATTTTTACAACACACCGATCTATTGCAACTTCGAAGCAGAAATTGCCAAAATTAAAAAGGAATTTTTCTGTGGACTCATCCCCTTGGGATTGTCATTGCAGGTAGGTCTTGCAGAAAAGGTAGCCGTCCTTAGAACTTAATCCTAATTGGTTTGTGTTGTAGGTTTAGTACCTACATTTGGAATGCCTATGGGAACTTAGAATGAGCTGGGTTAAGGTCCAAATAACATTAATCAATTCATTTGTAACTCCCTAAAGAAACACAAGGTTGTGGATTCATGCAGTCCCTATCCTTCTGCAGGAGCTGTAGATAGAAAGAAAGAACAGAATTTTCTCTCATAAAAGCAAGGATGTGAATGATGCTTTGGCATTGTTAATATTTAGAGCATAAAGTTGCTGTTCTTTCGTTGAACCTTTTTTGTAATTGTCCACGTAATCTAATTTATCCTTCTCCGAGCAGAAACCTTAGCAACTTAAGTTGAGGCTTTTGGTTTCTCTTTTTTGTACTTTTCACCATTTCAGTGAACGTTGTTACTTATCAAAAAAAATATATATAATAAACAAAAAGACTCACAGAATCTCAGTGTAGGGGATTCTCCATGCAGGAAACCCCAAGTGACATCTTGTAGGTCCATATACTAAAATTAGGTCGGGCTGAGGCCCTCCACAACCTGATAACAGATTCATCAGTATCCTTAAGGTTAACTAACAAAATTTTGAGTAAAACAGTAATCTGAACTCTCATCAAGTATAAGCAATAACACAAACCAACTGCTTTTAGAGCATCAGTCATCTGAGATTCAGAAATGAGTTGCTCATGGGCTCCACTCATGCTGGTTTTCCTCCACTTATTTGCAAGAATAAAATTACCCGCTCTGACAATGGCTTCTTTTCCATCAGAAACTGAAAGGAACTCCAGAGTAATGCCTTTACAGTTTAGTTGGACAGGTTCATTAGTCTCCTGAATGCAATGACTATGTTAGATGAATTGTGCATCTTATTATTGGCATTTTCACCTCCTAAGTTCAAATTGCAGATCGCTTTTTTTTTTTGGGGGTCAAACTTGGAAGAGAAAACAAAAAGCGGCAGTTATTCGTGATACTATTGAAGAAATAGCCGACCTCATGCAAAGATCAATATGTAATTGGCCGTTACAACTCCAAAAAAAGAAAAATTACGTTAAATTAAAGTAGGTACACAGAACTATTCGTATTCAACAGATATATTTAATATGAGTAGCAAGAAAAGAACAGGACACATGAAATCAAAAGTATGTTATTCCCTAAAGGACCCTAGGTACCCTCAAAGTATCATGATCCTTGCTACAATTAAGACTTAGAAAATCCATACATTATTAATATTCCAGATAGATAGATTCAAATGATACTTGGTTGAATGCAAAAGGCTTCATCACTTACTGAACCTGTAGGTTTAAATATATATCTTTGTTACAGTTGCATGTACCTGAAATACCGATGCATGCTTTACTTTCTTCAAAATGATTTCCTTGGATTGCTTTAGCACCCCTAGAGCACAAACACAGTCAAATAACCATACAATTCAACAATCTTGGAAAGACATTCACAAGCAATTGGCAACAGTAAAAGAGAACTCAGAATTCTTGGATTGACCAAAAATCATTACCTTCGACATCATATAAGCAGACGCTTCTAATACCCAGGGATGCTAACCATTGCAGAAGTTCAATAATTTTTAAGGTATTATAAGCTTCATCACTTTCAACCACAATGGCAAGATGTTGGACCCTGTCTATATTAAGACAATTGTACTTGCGTAGGAATCCACAAGAGATCAAATAGCTTTCAAGTGTTGTGGCAATACCAACCACAAAGTAAAATGAGCTAACAATAAAGTGTAGGAAGTGCCATATTAGCTGGAGTCCAAGAATTCCAATCTGCACAAGCATTGAGAAAAAAAACTAAGCATCTAATTCCCCTAGGATCAATGCTATCTTTGAGATATTTTTAAGGCCCCAAAAATTCCCCTAGGATCCTAATAAGTATTCTGCTTATACACCGACAGAATTCAAAACCCAAATGATAAATACAATTAAAGATAATGAAAAATAACACTAAGCAATTCCTAGAGCAGTCCAAGACTACACCTTCTGAAGCTCAACCCTGATGGTCATGGGTCTGCAAAAAGAAAAATACAAAGAAAATTGTGAGAAATCTAGGCCATCAAATTATCAAAAATGATTTCTTGAAGAAGATGTTAAAAGAAAATAAAGGAAAAAAATCCAAAACAGATCATTTAAAATTGAATAATCTAACCATACTTTTCAATTTCATTTAGCAATAGATTTGATTTATTCCACAATTGGAAGTATCATAAAGATTAAGCATGAGTATGAACTCTAGTGGAAAATACTTCACGAATAAAATATATATATTAAAAAAAATATCCAATTCTGAGTAAAATCTTTTGCCATGCCACATTCTTTTTTATTTATCTGTAACTTAAATTTATCATGGTAATTATAAAAAAGGATGAAGAACAACCTAACGATCATTTGCATAGGCTTAATGATCTGATACCTAATATCCTCATAACACCATAAAAACGTAAAAGGGAGCCAGGACCAATGAAAAATTTCCAATTTACAAGTATTTATGTTATCGTCCTTCACCTTCACCCATACCCCAATAGGGATGTGATAAATCTGGATTTCAGAGCTACTGATGCAATAAAGAGTGCCATGAATAATTAAAAACACTTTTCTTAACAAAGAGATTTGGTGGTAGAACCGTATAAGAGCTGACATGATTCAATCTGTACCAACTAAACTTTGTCGATTGGAAACAGTTAAAAATACCAGCAAATGGGGATGCCAAATACATATAATAATCTCTATATGAAGTTGAATTTTCGAATAGTTCATAGTGATACGATTTGCACAAAAGGGGAACCGCGACCCCCCAACCCAACAGGAAATAAATCGATCATGTAATGACGACCCATGATTTCCTCATCTTTCAAGCATAAAAAAACATACAAAGGCAGTTAATTAGAACCAGATAAATCAACAACACAACTCTAAAACAGGCAAGAAAGCAAGAAAGCAAGAAAGCAAGAAAATTGTTGATCATAAAGAAATGGAACTGTAAAGAAAGAGAAATGACCCGAGCGGAGAATTTGAATCAGTATCTGCAGCTACAAGGTAGGCGATGATGCTTGCGGGGATGATAAAGTGATGAAGTGAGCTGCGAAAAATGAAGAAATGGGATTTAATTTGTAGAATCCGGGAACCAATGGAAAGGCATGTCTGTTGAGAATTGTCGCTAGTAGTAACATTCGTGTGAACTTAACAACTACTCAATTTATTAATTTTAAAATTAGTTTGCAGAAGATATGTTAGGTTGAAAATTAGATGTCTGTTAGGTTGAGAATTAATGGTCTCTAATAGCTCGCCACCCTAAAAGAATAACAAAACAAAAATTTTATATATTTTGAAGTTCACGGAAATGTATTTGGTTTGCATCGTGGTATCAATACGTGGATATGTTCATCGATATTTCCATGTATCAATGGATTTGACATCAACATAAAAGTTAAATACACATTTATATCATTTTGAAAAAAATCAATAAAATATGAAAAATATTAACAAAACACCAATAATATATACATAATATTAACATTAATAATTTTTTTTTTGAAAAATAACATTAATAGTTTTAACTTATTTAGAAATAGAATAATATTTATTCATTACTTTGAATAACAAAAACATCTTTTTATTTATTAGAGAAGACTGAGTGAGTCCTAAAACCGAAAGATGAAGGCTGAAGCAAAGATAGCCTGATGTAATCAAGTTTGTCTACGAGGAACACACTTCTATTTTTTGTAGAGGAAGGCTAACTGCTTGCTGGGAGCAGAACCGATGGAAGTTTCCCATGGCGACCCCAAATGTGAGAACTCTAAGACTTGTTTTTTTTTTCCTATTAAAAAGTAGTTAGTTCGCATTATATCGTAACCAAAAAGTCGTGAATTCGAATTTTTATTGACGGACAAAAAATCCTAGTTATTTAATATAATTATTTAAAAACTAGTTCACCGAGTCTACGCCGCCGCGGTTGGTTCGGGTGTCGCTGGCCGGAGAGGAGCTAGGTCCAACGGTGTGAGGGAGGACGGAAGGGGTCTTTCGGGTGAAACTTGAATATATTACCCATTATATGACCCCCTTCTGAAAAAACCTATTTTGTGACCCCACTCCCAATTTTTTAAGTTTTCAAAATTTTATCTTATTTATGATATATTAAATTTTCACTTACCTATTCTACCAAATTCTAAATCCATGTTTCACGTATTGTTTGGACTCCAAAACAAATGAACTTCATATTTTTTATAACATATCAATAAATTGACACTTTGGGAAATCGAATACTCTCAATTTAAAGTATAGGCCAATCATCCTCGCTTGGGCCTTTCATAATTATTGAATATTATTTGAGCCCATTAGTTCTTGAAATTTATTGAATGGTCTTTATATACAAGTAAAAAAAAAAGGAAAATAAATTTGTATTGAAGACGTAGGACCCATCAGTAGAATATAGGCATCGCAAAACCCTTTCTGCCCGCCTCTAAGCTCCCACCGATTTTCTCCCACTATAAAAATCCAATCTTTTGCGCGGGAACATTTCGAACTTTTCTAAAATTCCCACCTCCAAAATTTGTAATTTTCTCTCTGTTTCTCCCTCTTCACATTCGTGTTCTTATATAATCCAATTGTAATCCCTGACGTCTCTGCACAGAACCTGTTCGACGAAATTCCTCTTGTTAAGATGTATGTGGTTAAGAGAGATGGGCGACAGGAGGCGGTGCATTTTGACAAGATCACTGCCCGTTTGAAGAAGCTTAGTTATGGCCTTAGTGTCGACCACTGTGATCCGGTTCTGGTGTCCCAGAAGGTCTGTGCCGGCGTTTACAAGGGTGTTACCACTAGCCAGCTCGATGAATTGGCTGCCGAAACCGCCGCTGCCATGACCGCCAATCATCCTGACTATGCCTCTGTGAGTTGATCTCACTCTTATCTCCCTCAATTTTGCAGACCATACTTTGGCTCACTTTCAATTTTCAATTTATTGTATGACACATGGGTCGATCTATGGTTGTACATATAAACATATGGCATATTTTGTTTTCTTTTGTGTGATGATCATTTGTTGATGTTTATAATTAGCAGTTGTGGGGAGAGAAATATACGTTTTGATTTGCTAATTTTTTGCCTGTCTTGTTTAACCCAGTTGGCTGCAAGAATTGCTGTTTCAAATCTGCATAAGAACACGAAAAAGTTGTTCTCAGAGACGTAAGTTTTGTATATGCTTTTACAATTCTAGATGAATGCATTAGAGCATAGAATTGCAGGAGTTTATTATTCTATGATGAACTCGAAATTAATTTCCAACCTGTTTTGGTGTTTAGCATCAAAGATATGTACAGCCATGTCAGTGAGAGATCAGGACAGAAGGCTTCTCTTATAGCTGATGATGTTTATGAAGTAATCATGAAGGTAGTCTTGTACTCTTTGTTGAATATTAAGTGCCTTTGTTTTAAAATGAAACTTTTCCAAGGATTTGTTGATTTGTTACGACCTCTGTTTCATTCTTTATTGATTTTGGATGTTGCTGATGAATTTTATTTCATCAAATTTTAAGTTGCAAATGATTACGTCTGTAGATTTTTAAGCTTTGGGATTTCTGTCAGATGAGTGCTTCTTCTAACACATACTGCTTATTTAACCGATTTCTCTTCCTTTTGTTTTAATCTTCCAGAATGCTGCTCGGTTGGATAGTGAGATTATATATGACCGTGACTTTGATTACGACTATTTTGGTTTCAAAACTCTGGAAAGGTCATACCTCTTGAAGGTTCAGGGGAAGGTCGTGGAGAGGCCTCAGCACATGCTTATGAGGGTTGCTGTTGGTATTCACAAGGATGATATTGAATCTGCTATCAAAACATACCACACTATGTCTCAACGGTGGTTTACTCATGCATCTCCCACCCTTTTCAACTCTGGAACCCCGAGGCCCCAAGTATGTTTTGAGTTCATAGATGCCTATTTTTAGAAGGTGCTAATCATGGCTGATGTTTTTTCATATTAGATATTTGGCCTTTTGATAATGATTTTCTTGGTTTTGCTCCTGACAGCTTAGCAGTTGTTTCCTTGTATGCATGAAAGACGATAGTATAGAAGGTATATATGATACCTTAAAGGAGTGTGCTGTTATCAGCAAATCAGCTGGTGGCATTGGTGTTTCTATCCACAATATTCGTGCTATGGGCAGTTACATCCGTGGAACAAACGGAACCTCTAATGGGATTGTGCCTATGCTGCGGGTTTTCAATGATACTGCTCGATATGTTGACCAAGGAGGAGGCAAGAGGAAAGGTAGTATGCTTCTGATTGGGTCTCATTTTGTTTATATGATCAATGTTCTTATTCTCACATGCCAATTGCAGGTGCTTTTGCTGTATACTTGGAGCCATGGCATGCTGATATATTTGAGTTTTTGGATCTCAGAAAAAACCATGGAAAAGTAATTACTATTTGTTATCGAGTGGAAATTATCAACATTTTAGTCAGTGTATTCTAAAACATTTGAATATGCACTATGCAGTCCTGTCATGTAAGTACTCAATGCCTTAATTTATTGCAACTGTTTTTTTCTGTAGGAGGAGCATCGGGCTCGAGATCTATTTTATGCACTTTGGGTACCCGATCTATTCATGGAAAGAGTCCAAAGTAATGGAGGGTGGTCAATGTTTTGTCCAAATGAGGCACCGGGTTTGGCTGATTGCTGGGGTGAGGAATTTGAGAAGCTATACACTAGATATGAACAGCTGGTAAATATGATTTAGTTTTCATGGGATCAACCTTTGCAAGTATATAGTTGATTTTGGTCTGCTATTTAATTAATTTTGATTTTGTATTTTTTTTGGTAGGGAAAAGCCAAGAAGGTTGTTAAGGCACAGAATCTTTGGTTTGAAATCTTAAAATCTCAGATCGAGACTGGAACCCCTTACATGCTATTTAAGGTGTTTAAACCACCCTGGCTTGTTTATAGTTATGCTGTTTGTTTCCTGTGTAACTTATTTTATTTCCTTCTCTGCATTCTCTAGGATACTTGTAACAGAAAAAGTAACCAGCAGAATCTTGGGACCATTAAAGCCTCTAATTTATGTACAGAGATAATTGAATATTCAAGCCCAACAGAGACGGCTGTGTGTAATCTTTCTTCAATTGCTCTACCTCGTTTTGTCAGAGAGAAGGTGAACTATCCCAAGCATGTTTTATGCAGCATAACACTCCTTTTTATTATTGTTCTCCATTTCCTAACTTCATACCATTTACTGCAGGGTGTTCCAATGGAGTCTCACCCATCTAAACTTGTTGGTAGCAGAGGTTCCAAAAATAGATACTTTGATTTTGACAAATTAGCCGAGGTTTGAATTCTTATTCATGCCTATGGTTTGTTTTACTAATCATTATAAAGATGTGTGTACTCTTTTATTTTTAATCAATCAACTTGTGTATTTATTCTTTGTCTAACCAGATAACTACTCTAGTTACAACAAATCTGAACAAGATAATTGATGTCAATCACTATCCTGTGGAGACTGCCAAAAGGTCAAATCTCAGACACAGACCTATTGGTATTGGGGTTCAAGGTCTTGCGGATACTTTCATTCTACTGGGCATGCCGTTTGATTCACCTGAGGTAATTGTCCTACAGCTCTACCTTATGTTCTTAGCCTCTTATATTCAACTAAAGTAGTCCATATGGATAATAAATGCCAGGCTCAACAATTGAACAAGGATATATTTGAAGCCATATACTACCATGCTCTTAAAGCTTCTTGTCAGATTGCTGCAGTAGAAGGCCCTTACGAAACTTACGCCGGCAGTCCTGTTAGTAAGGTATGTAATAAGGAAAAACTTGGCTATGGAATTTCCACTTGAACTACTGTCTTCTGGATTTTAATCTAACAAAATCCTATTCTGATTTACATGTTTACTTATATGGCCAATATGTTTTTAGGGAATCCTTCAACCTGACATGTGGGGGGTAACACCTTCAAATCGATGGGATTGGAATGCCCTCAGGGAACAGATTGCGAAAAATGGGGTAAGAAATTCACTTCTTGTGGCTCCAATGCCAACTGCTTCTACCAGCCAGATTCTTGGAAACAACGAGTGCTTTGAGCCATACACTTCAAACATCTACAGCCGCAGAGTTCTAAGGTCTGCTTTACAGTTTGAACTTCTAGAGCCTTTCATTACAATAATATATAATCTCTACTTGTCTCTAAAATATCTCTTTCCATTCTTTCAGTGGTGAATTTGTTGTTGTGAACAAGCATCTCCTGCACGATTTGACAGAGATGGGCATGTGGTCTCCTTCTCTGAAGAACAAGATCATCTATGAGAATGGTTCTGTTCAGACGATTCAAGAAATCCCTGATGATCTAAGAGCTATTTACAAGTATGGCTGGTTTTCCCTGCATTTCCCTTTCCCTGCCCTCAATCTTGATTTATCCTACTGATTTGTTCTTGATTTAATTCAGGACTGTTTGGGAGATCAAGCAAAAGACTTTAGTCGACATGGCTGTCGATCGAGGTTGTTACATCGATCAGAGTCAGAGTCTCAATATCCACATGGATCAACCAAATTTTGGAAAACTTACCTCCTTGCACTTCTATGCGTGGTCAAAGGTATACTCTTTCATAGTACTCATTGATATTTGATGTTTAAGAGATTTCCTTTCTCATAGTAAGATTGATTCTGATTACATTTTTTGTTATATGAAGGGTCTAAAAACAGGAATGTATTACCTACGATCACGAGCTGCAGCCGATGCCATCAAATTTACGGTTGACACTTCAATGTTAAAGGTAGTGTATAGTAAAAGCTATTCTCTTTGCTTCACACATTGTCTTAGTTTATAGCTTTCATCACATAACCAAATGCCATCATTGGTTTATGTAGGAAAAGGTCAATGATGAAGATGATAGTACGAAAATGGCACAGATGGTATGTTCTTTAACGAATCGTGAGGAGTGCTTGGCCTGTGGAAGTTAAGATATGACATTCAAAATTAGTGGTGCTTTCTCTCTACATTTATCTATCTGCTCTAGGAAAAAGCACTTAGCTTCATAGGGATGATTGAACTTCTTTATACTCTAGTCAAATATCTAGATAACTATAGGATGATGTAAATTCTGTACAGTTTTTTTTTTCCTTTCCCTCTTTTGGAGGGTGTGGGATGAGCATCGATTTGATAAGCAAAAAATAGATGAATCCTAAAACCCGATTCTTGTCATCATAATTTGATTCGATTCGGATCTTTCCCCATTTGTAGTTAGTACTCCAAATTTTCAATTTTCTTTTGGAAACTGATCTTTGAGTGCCTTGCTTGTTGTTTTCCCCATTTGTAGTTAGTACTCCAAATTTTCAATTTTCTTTTGGAAACTGATCTTTGAGTGCCTTGCTTGTTGTTGAAGGTGAAATATAGGTTCATGGCCATTGGAAAAGAAAAAAAAAACAGAGGGCTTGACTAAGTCAAAATCGATTTTACAGTATAGATTTTTATTTCAATATTAAAACCATTCTTGTAATTAGGTGAAGAATAATTAAATTGAGTTCATAATATTGATCTAGGAAAGGGATTAGATTTATTAGATTTTTTTTAGTGCAACCAATAGGGGTGTGGTATTTGAACTCTTGATTAAAGACATATGTCAATTATTGTTTTTTTGTAATACAATATGTGGGAGGGTGGATTGAATTCCAAAGATATATGTTAATTATCACTAAATTATACTCGAGGTATATGTTAATTACCGTTGAACTATGTTTGCTTTGGCTCCTACCATCATTCTCATCTTTAAACTCATATGGGTTGATTTTTTTTGCATCTACTTGATTTCTAACTTAGAAATTTGAATATCAAATTTAATGCTGAAAGACATGCTTTATTTTAGAATATGTTGTCAAAATTGAGAAAATTGCTATTTTCATGTATCCCCAATTAAACATTGAGCTATAAGTTAGAATTATAACACGAACTTGAGTTCTTAGTGTCATCGGTTGAAAAAACCAGCACCGGCGGGAGTAGAAGATCTATGATAATGAGAGAAAAATGATATGAAATAAGTGATGACTATTTCTACGAGCTAGATAAAGAATGGTTCAACCAAGGATTGTTGAAATTTTCAATAACTTAAAATTTAAAATTAAGGTCTTGTGTTTCACCAGAATGAATCGGAATGAAAATTAATTGTTATTTTTTTTTAATGTTGTGTACCAAAAATTTGTTGGAATCGAAGTCAGAGTTCTTTTGATATTGTTTATTAAAATTATTTGAAATTGAAATTGAAATTAGATATATAACAATTATTAGTATAATTTTTTTTCTTTCTAGCTAATTACAAAGTATATTGGTTTGTTATTTTTTTTTAAATTACAACAATAATAAATTTTAATTGATTTTATTACTATAGTAAATATTTTTTCATAACAATTTATTTAATATTAATAAATAATAAATAATTAAAATAAAATTATACCCATTAAATTTTTTTTTATTATAACTATCCTCCTTTAATATAAAATTTATTAATTTTTATTATTATTATATTTAATAATAATGAATTATATTTAAAAAATATATGTTGTTATTAATAATAACGAAATTAAATATTAAATATAAATTTATATCATACGATTGGAACTTATAGAATACTTCTCTTATAGAATACTGATAATTCTAGTCTACCCATTTCATTAAAGATGCAATCTTAATCATTTTCATTTTTTTTATCTTAATCTAAAATTACATCAATTAATAAAAGTGGTATAAACTTTAATTAAAAGAAAAAAAGTATAAATGAAAAAGAAATAAAAAAAAGTATAAAATAATTAAATAAAAGGTTACGGGTCTCATTAATATAGGGTAAAAGTCTATATATGTGAGATCCACGGAAAAAAGGATTGAGAATGAAATTGATGAGGGTGTATTATATATTTTAATATATTACATGCTAGATATATAAGTTATAACTAATTTACTTGATCATATATCTTGATGACATTAAGATATATTAATTATTGATGTATTTCATATTAGGTGCATATTGATTTATTTTGTATTAGATAAATAAGTTATAATTGATGTCCCCAGTAGTATGAACGTAAATTTGTTAAGATTAAAAAAATTATGTTGAGATTAAAAAATTTGGAAGGGTAAGACTAGAATAACTAAAAATTTGAAAATTAGATTTAAAATATTTTACCATACCTATAAAATTTAAAAGTACGACAAATATACCAAATCGAACTAGGTTCGAATGGTGAAGTTACCTATTAACCACTCATCCTCTTTTTCCTTCAATTTAAACATTTGTTAAACTATCACAATTTTCTTTTTTGCCAAATGAACCCTAATTAAACCCACTTGGTGGTGGTACTTACCTGAGCCGTTCGTCGTCGTTTTCTGCAAAACAAAATTCAAATATCTTCGATACCGTAAACACTAAGCAAGAAGAAGTGAAAGCGACGAAAATGGTGAAGATTTATCAGAGTAAAGACTACTCCAGGTGCGGCCTAGATGGGTTGTCTTTTAACTTCTATATGAGCCTACGCTTAGCATTTCGGTTTAGGTTTCAAGCAAGTTTAATTTCGTATGGCTTCTTGGACATATAATGTGTTTCTGAGCTTTCGAGGCGAGGACACTCGCAATTCGTTTACCAGTCACCTCTATGAAGCTCTAGCGCAGGCAGGGATCAACGCGTTCAGGGATAGTGAGGAGCTGCAAAGGGGAGTGGAAATTTCGGAAGAGCTCTGTGAAGCAATTGATGGGTCGAGGTTTTTGGTTGTGGTGTTTTCCAAAAATTATGCATCTTCTACATGGTGCTTGGAGGAGCTTGTTCGGATTATGGGGTGCATGGAGCGTCTTAATGGGCAGATGGTTTTGCCAGTGTTCTATGATGTGGATCCTTCTGAAGTGCGAAAGCAAGATGGGGGCTTTGGAGAAGCATTCACTAAACATGAAGAAAGATTCAAGGAGGACTTGGAGAAGGTACAGAGATGGAGAAAAGCTCTAACTGAAGCAGCCAACTTATCTGGGTGGCATTTGAATCAGAGGTAACAGTGTGCTTAATTTTCTTTGTTATCCTTAATCCATTTATCTATTGTACGTTTTCTACTAGATTATTTATAAATAGTATTGAATAGCCTATATGGATTTTGGTCAAAGGGATAGTAGTAGTTTGAAAAATTACATGAGGACTGAGGAATTAATAGTTAAACAAAGCAAATACTTTGTATTTTTTACATTTGATGTGCAGGTGTGAGTCTACATTTATCAAGAATGTAGTTCAAGAGATATTGGATAAGATTAACAGCACACTCTTAACAATTGCCACAAACCCGGTTGGGATTGATTCCCATATTCAACAACTAGAGTCTGTGTTAGGTCTTGAGTTTGATGATGTCCGCATGATCGGAATTTATGGCCTTGGTGGAATAGGCAAGACAACCATTGCAAAAGCTATTTATAACTCGATTGCCAATCGCTTTGATGGTTGCAGTTTTCTTCCCAATGTAAGAGAAAAATGTGGTTTCTCAATGCATGATGGGCTAGTTAAATTGCAAGAGTTACTTCTCCAAGACATCTTGCTGGTTAAAATGCATTGGTCTATAAATTTTGTTGACAGAGGAACTAATATCTTGAGGGATAGACTAAGAAACAAAAAAGTCCTTATTGTTCTTGATGATGTGGATAATATATTCCATCTTGAAAAATTAGCAGGAAATGTAGATTGGTTTGGTCCTGGAAGCAGAATTATCATAACAACTAGAAATAAGCAACTGCTAGATGCCCATGGGATTTACTTGACCTACAAGGTTGATGGATTAAACCATGAAGATGCGCTTAAGCTTTTTTGTTGGAACGCATTTAAGAAATCTGATCCTGATGTGAACTTTGACGAGCTTTCAGATGCTGTAGTTAGATATGCAGATGGACATCCCCTTGCTCTTACTGTTGTAGGGGCTTCTCTATGTGGTTGGAACAAAGCTCAATGGGAAAGTGAGTTACAAAAGTTGCGAAGGATTCCAAAACAGGATGTTCAGAATATACTTAAGCTAAGTTTTGATGGACTTGATGATCTTCAGAAGGAAATTTTTCTGGATATTGCTTGCTTCTTCAAAGGGGAGGAAGTAGGATGTGTAATGAGTTTTTTAGATGCTTGCGGTCTCATATGTACTGAAAGCAATACATTCCAAATGCATGACATGATTCAATTAATGGGCAGATAGATAGTTCGTCAAGAATCTCCCTTCGATCTTGGAAGACGTAGTAGATTGTGGTTTCATGAAGATGTTCTTCAAGTGCTAAATGAAGATCATGAGGTATGATTTACTCTCGTGTCTGAATCTTCCATAAGTTTCTTTAGAATACAAGCATGGTATGCCCATATGTTATTGCAACTGAAGTGATTTTGGTTTTTAAGCTGTTGATGATGCATCTGTATTTGCAGGGAACACTTGCAGTTCAAGGGATATATTTAAATATGCCCAATGTAGAAGTGTGTTTACAGACTGAAATCTTTTCCAAGATTAAAAATCTGAGGTTGCTCATAATACGTGAGGCTAATGTCATTGGGAGTCCTCAGTATCTTTCAAATAAGTTAAAGTGGCTGGAATGGGCTGGACCATGTTCTATAGCACCGCCATCAACTTTTTATCCACAGAAACTTGTGGTACTCAACATCCAACATTCCTCTATTAAGAAATTCGGAATTGGACTCAAGGTATGCTTAGCTTATTCTACTTTCCATTTCCTCAACCAATGAATTTTTAACATTTTAATTGTGTACAATGGAATTGCTTAGGCTCCATAACCATTTCGTTGCGCAATTTCTTTGGTATGTTTTTCACCTTTCTTAAAAATAAATTTAAATTGTTAGCCAAATTTTAAAATCAAAAACAGGTTTCTGAAAACTATTTTTTTAGTCTTCAAAATTTGACTCATAGAGAGGATATATAGATAGTTTTTAAAACCAAAAATATTCAAATGGGTATGAGAGGGTGCTTAAGTTTGCAAGTTAATAACAACAAAACTCCCTTTAAGAAACTTGGCAAAATATCCCTTTAACTTTGGGGGAAGTATGCCTCCTCTTGGGTGGATTATTAACGCTTATGATTGATTTTTTCTCTCAGGGTTTCAAAAATCTAAGGTACTTAAATTTCAATGGTTGTGAAACGTTGACTGAAATTTGTGATATATCGGTGATGCCGAATCTTGTCATTTTAGACCTTCAGCAATGCTCTAACCTTGAGTTTTTCTCAAGTGGTCTGAAATCGAAATCTCTCGAGGTTCTCAATCTTGGACATTGCTATAAGCTCATAAAGTTCCCTGATGTTGTCGAAGAAATGGAATGCCTTAATATAATCGACTTAAGAGCATCTGGTATCACAGAGCTGCCTACATCTATTGAAAATATTACTGGTCTTCGATTCCTAAACCTGGATTTCTGTGAGCACTTGGTGCTTCTTCCCAGTAGTATCTACAGGCTTAAGAATCTTGATTATATTGGATTAAACGCCTGCTTTAGGCTGTTAAAATTTCCACAGCGTTTGAATTCCGCAGTGGTTTCTTCTAATTTATTGAAATTGGACTGGATTATGCCTTTCAACCACTTCTATTCATCAGTAATTTTGACTTTTAAAGAGAGGAAGCTTCCCATGGGGATGAGCAAGTTTGATGGGCACAATTCATTGTCAACGATGGACGTTGCAAAGTTTTCTGACATCAAAATAATCCCCAAAAATGATTACTTGCAGCGAAACTGGGTAGAAGTGTGTATGCGCCAGGTTAGTCTTTCTTTGTCTTTTTTATGGCATCTATAAAAATGATCTTAGAATTAGTGATTTTGTCACGAGTGAAAGTTATTTTAACCATGTCGAAATTGTTCTAAAAAATGCTCTTAATATCTTAGTTCTTATAAATCATGACTGTTAAACCTAATGGAACATTTTGTTAAGCTGTTTGAAAACATATAAATATTTTTCTTTGCATTGTAATTTGCTTCACTAGCATAGCATTATATAGGCAGACTTTTCTTTTCATTGAGTTAGATTTTCTTAGTTAAGCGTCAAAGAGTTGAAAAATGATAGTTTTCTTTTACTGCGATGTTGTCCTTGTATACTTGATAATGTCTAATAATTTCTCTCTAAAGTATAAAGATGACATGGCAGGCTATGAACAAGCACAAACAGGTTGAATTTACGCTACTTGGAAATGAGATTGCAAACTCATTTATGAACAAGCATATCTGCCTTCGATTGCCATTTCACAAGTATAACCATCTTTTGGGGATAATATTTTGTGTTGTTAAGAATAGGAAGGGTTTTGTGCTACTCTTTCGAGGTTGAGATTAACTCCAAACGTGTCGGTGAGGTAGAATTATTTGATGATTGGTTCTATAAATTTGATAACGTGTGAGTCTCTTATTTTCCTCTTAGAGTCGATATATACCAAAGTTGTATGAAGTACTAAAAGGCAACACGAGTCATTTTAAGATTACAGTTCTTCAAGTTGAAGATGACAATTCAATTGAAGAAGTAGCAATAATTAAATCGCCAGTGAAAAAATTTGGAGTTCGTTTCATGAGCAGTGATGGAGAAGATGAGGAAGCATATACTTGCAATGGAAAGAAGATGGTGATGGAGAGGGAATATGAAGAGAAATGAAAAGAGAAGCAAAATATAGTCCAAATAAAAGAACTGAAATTGCATTGCAATCATGTATATGTTTTTTTTGTTTTTGCAAAACGGTCTTATTCTAGAGTTGTGTTAGTTGGAAAGTATTCTAATAATTATTGTTGGGAGTATGGTTTGATCGGTGATATCTTTTTCTTCCTTGGGAACATGAACATGACTTAACGATAATTGACATGTATTTATTTCTTTGTAAATGTGGTACTAAAACAAAATTCTTTAATCTCCTAATAATATATATAACTTTGAATTTTCCACATCAGCTACATTATACTCCAATATGTTTTTGTTAGACATTTAAGTCAAATGATTTAACATATCTGTGAGTTGATGTTGACGAATAATTTAGTTAATAGAAATATTTTTTCCTTTTTCTTTTTGGAGAGTAATATAATTCTAAGGGATGGAGAGTTCAACTTTCTCGCACAATAAATGATTTTATTTGGTCGGCCAATCAAATGTTTGCACAACATTTTTAAAAGTTTAAATATTATTTTAGTCTTTTAACTTTGATTTATTTTGTTTACTGTACTTACCAAACGTTAATCTTGATCATTGTATTTTTACTTTTATTCATTTTAGTTTTTATATTTCTAAATGTTCATTTTGGTTCCTATTTTTAAAGTTTTGTAAGTTGGAGGGGTCCTAGTGAATGTGAAATGTAGGTTTCAGAAAAAGGAGTCGAGGTTAGAGAATAAGTGAAGTCCTTATTGGGATCAGAATTTAGAAAAATGGTTGGAACAACAAACATCCATCTCATTTGTATTTTAGTTAAGAAGAATCAAATCATCACCCGAAAGAAAGGGCCTTAAGTAATGTTTTCTTTCCTTTATTAGTAAAGAGATAATCAGCAAGTAGGAATAAGAGCATTGGGGAGGGGCTTATGTGCCTTCAATTTAGAGGCTTCCCTCCTTATCCTTCACCCTACTCTTTCATTTCCGCTTAAGCTTCCCGGTTTGGGGGATTAATTCATCAAGTTGATGATAAAATACACGGGCGTTCCAGTGGACATTATGCACTTGTTACACAACAATCCCTTAGAGGAAGGGCCAAGCAAAGTGGACAACAGGTGGGAGAAATGGAGGTTTGGGCGCGTTCTATGAAACGAGAAGCAATAAAAAGATGTCAAACTCGAACTCGGTGTCGAGATCCAATTGAATTAATAAAAGAGTGAGAACGATTTAGAAAAAAGTCAGTCTAGCACAACCCTGACTAACAATGGAAAGGGAGTGGGAATGACCTATCAATCATTGGTGGACCTTCCCTTTCAGTCTTTCACCAGTTACGACAGCTCTGGATGAAAGGAGAATAGGGGTATTAAGAAAAGGAATTTCCCAAGGGTTTTTACTTTTTTTATTACAAAAAAAAATAAAATACTACGTCGTCTATTCTCCCTTCAATCAAATACGAAATTGGATCTTGATCTATTTGAGATTATTCCTTTTAATCGTAATCAAAGATGTTTTCTTGTCTCACGGATAATTTCATTACCCTCATGAGCAAGACCACGTCCCTAATTACGAGCTTGTACACCACTTACTAGCAAAGGCGACATGGAAGAGAACGAAAATAGGCCGCGGATGGTGATCGTGATAGGTTCGAGGATCTTATGTGGCGGAGTGAGAATCCATTATTTATATGATTCTTTGATAAAAAGAAATCACAAAAAATGGTATGTTGTCTTAATGAGGAAGGAATACCATAAAAATTCATTAATTTCTATTATGAAATGTTCATTTGGTAAGATTGAATTATCAGGGGCACTTTTGGGACCCAAGAACCTTGAAGAATCTTTTCCATTCTTCTAGTGTTTATCGGTGGTGGTATACAATCAGTTTACGTACTAATGAGGTCAGTTCATGCACGCTTTCACCACCCATCGTACATCAAATTTTTTACTTTGACCTTGCAAGCACTCACTCAAAATAGGGAGGGTAAAAACCTCGTCCGAGAACTTATATAGAAAAGGATTTCCCGCGTATCTCTTAAGAATCGTACGGGCACCTTTTGATGCATGCGATTAAAAAAAATAGTGAAAAAAGAATCAATGTTTGGATTCTAGCCTTCTTTAGAGGACTCTTTCTAACTTCTAATTAAGGGGAAAGATGGAATTGTCCGATTATAGCTCGACGTGCTGCTTCAATGACCCGATATGAAAGATGACCAGTTCTACAACTTTTAGTGCCATATCTTCCAAAACCAAGTTGTGTACCGTCCGGATTGGGTGAACTTATTATTATTATTCAAACAAAATTTATCTACATTTAGAACTCTTTAATACAAATTTACTGCAATATTTCAAAAATTTAATGATTAAAGTGTTATGTTAAAATTATGATAAAAAGAAATAAGATAAAAATAAAAATAGAGAGACCAATTAAAATAATCGCTTTTTAAAAATACATTATTAAAAGTATATGAAGTAAAATAGACGTTTTAAGAGTATATGTATCAAAATGAACCAAAATCCAAATAACGACTAATACAGTGCTTTAACCTTTATTCTCTTTTTTAACTATTACAAACTTCCCATCAGTAGTTTCACCTTTTTGAAACCATCGCAAACTTCTAATTAGTATTTTAAACTTAATGAAACCATCACAAAATTCTCATTTTTTTTTCAAATCAACCTAATTTTTTTTTTGATACTTCGAGTGTTCGTGTGCATACCTCGATTAATCACGGATCGACTACCTAATCCTACTACAACTCTAATTAAACCCACTTAGTACGAGCTTTTTGACTTGTTAGTGGTTGTTTTTTAAAAAACAGGTTAAAATACTATTTTAGTCTATGTACTTCAAACCTTGGTTAATTTTAGATATTGTACTTTGAAAATGTTCATTTTGGTCCATCTACTTTTAAAAAGTGATCATTTTAGTCATTCTTTGAAAAATTTTAACACAAATTTTACACATAACAAAAACTTTTAGTATAAAGTAATGTTTACATTTTAAGAAATATATTGATTTTAGTGTCGGGTTGAAATTGTGATAGAAAAAAATGAGATTAAGAATAAAATTAAATGATCAAATAGTCACTTTTTAAAATATATGAATCAAAATGAACATTTGAAACTTTAAGGACTAAAATAAATATTTTAAAGATATAGGAATTAGGGACTAAAATAGTATTTTAACTTTTAAAAAAATACTTGACTCTTCGACGATGAAAAAAAACCTCTAACTTTTCAAATATTTAATGGTGAAAAGAATAATATTGTTCGTGCTTATCATGGAGCCAAATATATATTTTTTCTTTTCCTTTCCTTTTCATTTCATTTTCTTCCACTGTTATACAAACCATTCTAAATATATTTTCTTTCATTTTCCTTTTCACTCTTTTTTAATGCTCAAGGCCGAAGGTATTGGTGTTACAGTTAGCAGGGGGTGACTGTCAACTGCTATGTGACCCACCGGTTAGCAATAGCATTTCGATTTAGGTTTCAAGCAAGTTTAATTTCCTATGGCTTCTTGGATATATGATGTTTTTCTGAGCTTTAGAGGTGAGGACACTCGCAATTCGTTTACCAGTCACCTCTATGAAGCTCTAGCGCAGGCAGGGATCAACGCGTTCAAGGATAGCGAGGAACTGAAAAGGGGAATTGAAATTTCGCAAGAGATTCGTGAAGCAATTGATGGGTCGAGGATTTTGGTTGTGGTGTTTTCCAAAAATTATGCATCTTCTACATGGTGCTTGGAGGAACTTCGGATTATGGGGTGCATGGAGCGTCCTAATGGGCAGATGGTTTTGCCAGTGTTCTATGATGTGGATCCTTCTCAAGTGCAAAAGCAAGATTTTGGAGGAGCATTCACACAACATGAAGAAACATTCAAGGAAGACTTGGAGAAGGTACAGAAATGGAGAAGAGCTCTAACTAAAGCAGCTAACATATCTGGGTGGCATTTGAATCACAGGTAACAGTACTTTTTATTTTTAAGGAACAGTGAATTGATAATATGACATTACAAAAGAAGGGGAAATCCCAATTAAAGGGAGTTACATGAAAAATCTTCAATTGGATAAATGAGATTATAGTAATGAAAGAGAATAGCATACTTGCTAGAGGCATCATGTTTGGGAGAGCAGAGGTTAATCTCTTCAGATTGTTTCTATCTCTCTCCTTAGAAACAATCTTCAGAATCCACATCTTAGATGGCATGGGAAATAATCCCAATCTTAAGATTGGATAAATGAAAAATCCCAATCTTCATGTTTCTCCTTTGACCTTAGGTCCCAAAATTCAGATTCATTCATTCAAATACTTTTGATAGCATCATGTTTCTTCATAGATAGATTAAAAATAAGAGGATACTTACTTGCTAGAGGCATATATGCAAGCCAAACGTCCTCCTAAAGAGATATATTAACCCCATCTCCAATCTTGAAAGGCAAACGATCCAGGCTCACGTTAAAAGGCAATGTGCCATATTTTGCATCAATGATTTTCCTGTAAAGAGCGAATTTTCCGTTTATGTACCCTTTGGGAAGGAGAGCTTTGTTCTTATTTTTCAAACTATGGATGTCAAGGCCACCGTTTTCGGTGGGATGGACGACTTCTGCCCATCTAACTAGATGCATTCCACTTTTTTCTCCATCTCCTTTTCAAAGAAAATTTCTGAAGATTGTTTCTAAGGACAGAGGTACCTTAGATGGCATGGTGAATAAGGACAAGTAATATAAAGCAAGAGATTAACCGTGCTTAATTTTATTTGTTATCCTTAACCCATTACCTATTGCACGTTTTTCTAATAGATTATTTATCAATAGTATTGAATAGCCTACACGGGTTTTGGTCAAAGAGATAAGTGTAGTTTGAAGAATTACATGAGGACTGAAGAATTAACAATTAAATTGAAAGTAAAGATTAAAGAAACAAATATTTTCTGTTATTAGTTTTATTCTAAGCAAGCAAATTACCTTGTATGTTTTACTATTGATGTGCAGGTCTGAGTCTACGCTTATCAAGGATATAGTTCAAGACATATTAACTAAGATTAACCGCACACTCTTAACAATTGCCAAAAACCCAGTTGGAATTGATTTTCATATTCAACAACTAAAGTCGGCATTAGGTCTTGAGTTGGATGATGTCCGCATGATCGGAATTTATGGGCTTGGTGGCATAGGCAAGACAACCATTGCAAAAGCTATTTATAATTTGATTGCCAATCGCTTTGATGGTTGCAGTTTTCTTCCCAGTATAAAAGAAAAATGTGGTTCCTCGATGCATGATGGACTAGTTAAATTGCAAGAATTACTTCTCCAAGACATCCTGTTGGATAAAATGCATTGGTCTATAAATTTTGTTGATAGAGGAACTAATATCTTGAGGGAGAGACTAAGAAAGAAAAAAGTCCTTATTGTTCTTGATGATGTGGATAATATATTGCACCTGGAAAAGTTAGCAGGAAATGGAGATTGGTTTGGTCGTGGAAGCAGGGTTATCATAACAACTAGAAATAAGCAGCTTCTAGATGCACATGGGATTTACTGGACCTACAAGGTTGATGAATTAAACCATGAAGATGCGCTTGAGCTTTTTTGTTGGAATGCATTTAAGAAGCCTCATCCCAATGTGAATTTTGAGGAGCTTTCTGATGCTGTAGTTAGATATGCAGATGGACATCCCCTTGCTCTTACCGTGGTGGGGGCTTCTCTATGCGGTTGCAGCAAAGCTCAATGGGAAAGTGAGTTACAAAAGTTGAGAAGGATTCCAAAAAAAGATGTTCATGAGATGCTTAAGCTAAGTTTTGATGGACTTGATGATGTTGAAAAGACAATTTTTCTAGATATTGCTTGCTTCTTCAAAGGGGAGGAAGTAGGACGTGTAATGAGTTTTTTAGATGCTTGTGGTTTCTACCCTGATTCTGGAATTGAAGTGCTTAAGAAGAAATGTCTCATATATAGTGAAGAAATGTTCTTAACTAGTACATTCCAAATGCATGACATGATTCAATTAATGGGCAGAGAGATAGTTCGTCAAGAATCTCCTTTTGATCTTGGAAGACGGAGTAGATTGTGGTTTCATGAAGATGTTCTTCAACTGCTAAATGAAAATGAGGTATGATTCACCCTCACATCTGAATCTATCTTTTCCTTTTCCTTTTCCTTTCAAAAGCGCTATATAGTTTATAAGTTTTTGCCGTTGATGATGCATCGGGATAATGTATTGCAGGGAACCCTTTCTGTTCAAGGGATATATTTAAATATGCCCAATGTTGAAGTGTCTCTGCAGACTGAAACCTTTTTGAAGATGAAAAAACTGAGGTTGCTCATAATACGTGAGGCTAATGTGATTGGGACTCCTCAGTATCTTTCAAATGAGTTAAGGTGGCTGGAATGGCCTGCACCATCCTCTATGGTACCATCAACTTTTCGTGCAAACAAACTTGTGGTACTCAACCTCCAACGTTGTTCTATTAAGAAGTTCGAGATTGGACTCAAGGTATGGTTATTGTACTTTCATTTCACAAGCAATGAATTGTTATAATCTTAATTTTTAAAAATAGAAAACCAAAAATCAAATGGTTTTACTAATTGACTTATGATTGATTTCTTATTTCAGGGTTTTGAAAATCTAAGGTACTTAAATTTCAATGGCTGTAAAATGTTGACTGAAATTTGTGATATATCAGTGATGCCGAATCTTGTCTCTTTAGACCTCCAACGATGCTCTAACCTCGAGTTTTTTTCAAGTGGTCTAAAATCGAAATTTCTTAAGGACCTTAATCTTGACTGCTGCTATAAGCTGAAGAAGTTTCCTGATATTCTTGAAGAAATGGAATGCCTTGATACACTTTCGTTGAGAGCCTCTGGTATCACAGAGCTACCTGCATCTATTGAAAATCTTACTGGTCTCATTGATCTAAACTTGGATTCCTGTGAGCACTTGGTGCGGCTTCCCAGTAGTATCTACAGGCTTAAAAATGTTAGATTTATTGTATTGGATGGCTGCTTTAGACTGGAGACATTTCCACAGCCTTTGAATTCCGTAGTGGTTTCTTCTAGTTCAGAAGGAAAACGTATTCAAGATTCGATGACTTGTCTTGACAACCGCTATCATTCCACATTGGCTGAATTTCGTCTCATGCAGAGTAATTTCTTGAAATTAGACTTCATTATGGCTTTCAACTGCTTCAATTCGTTAAGAAGTTTGCATTTGAACGGGAGCAAAATTAGGAGGCTCCCTAGGGGGATGAGCAAGTTTGAAGGGCTTGAGTTGATCATATTGAAAAGTTGCAAACAACTTCAAGATATCCAGACCTTCCACCAAATATCAGTTTTTTGAATGCAAGCGGGTGTGAGTCATTGTCAAAGCTGGATGTTGCAAACTTCTTTGACATGAAAATAATCTCAAAGAAAGGTTACTTGTGGCGAGACTGGACAGAAGTATTTTTGTGTCAGGTTAGGCTTTCCACTCATCTTTTTTTACTTGCTATTAGGATATAATTAAAAATATTAATAGATAGTTCGGGAAGTTGTTAGAGTGATTTGTTATAAATAGAGACTAGAGTGAGCGGGAAAGGATTGAAGTAGACATTGATTTGGTTGGTTTAAGCTTTAGTAAGAATATTGAGCTCCTAAGGGCAACTATTGGTAAAGGCCTGATGTCTCTTCATCATACTGGCTTAGATGTCTGATGTTCGAACTGTCTGGTGAGCTTAATACAAAAAACTCTGGATGTCTCTCGGATTCTGGGCGTTGGGGCAGTGATGGGTGCCTCTGTGCAAGGGGAGTAAAGCTCTGACTCCCCGTTATTAAAAAAAACAAAAAAAATCGATCAACAAAAGGGGAGGGTTCAAATACCTCAAATTAATTGTTCTATATTTTATATTTCAATATATTTCTAGTTGTTAGGGTTCTATCATTTAGTCCTCATGAATCACAACTGATTTTGCTAATCTGTTGCGACCCAAAAAACATATATTTTTTAAATTCTTGTAATTTGCTTCATTAGCTAGGTTTAATTTATCCTTGATAATGTGTCTAATCTTGCTCTAAAGTATAATGATCACATAACAGGGAATCAACAACCACGAAATGGTTCAGTTTACGCTACCTGGAAATGAGATTCCAAACTCATTTATACATTCTAGCCCAAGCAGCTCTATCTTGCTTCAGTTGCCATTGCCTATGAAGAACCATATTGTGGGGATAATACTTTGTGGGGTTTACACTAGGAAGAGTCCTTGCGACTGTTTCAAGGTTGAGATTAACGGTATATTTCTCGAAGAGATTCGTACTGATTGGTCCAATGAATTTGATCAGGTGTCGGTCGCTTATTTTCCACGAAAGTCAATACTGGATAAAGTATTGAAAGTTAACACGAGTCATCTTGAGATTACAGTTTTTCAAGTCGTGGACTATTCAGATGGAGGAGGTGAAAGGAAATGGCCAGTAAAAAAGTTCGGAGTTGGTTTGATATTTGATGGAAAATATGAGGAGACATATATTTTTAGTGGAAAGAAGAGGAAGAGGAATTAGAAGAGAATCAAAGTAGGTTCCAAATCAAAGAACTGAAACTGCATTACAGTCGTAATCGTATATATATTTCAGACAGGCCCAAATTATTCGTATTCATAAATTATGTTTATTAACGAGTGTTTTATTATTAAACACTTTTTTATTAAAGTACTAGTGCAGTTTTGATAAAAGTACTTCCCTAACCACACCATGTTTTATACAAATCTGATACAGTTCTCATAATAATAAACAACATTTCAATGTCTCCACACAACAATGACAAAGGAGAGAAGCATAAACCCATTTGGAGTACCTAAATTGACTGTTACCAACATGCACATAACTTCTAACAGGAATTTTTAACAGGAAGATACAAAAGAACTAAAACAAAAAAACAATTTCTAATCAAACTTCGGCACATCCACAAGAACATGGATTACTGAAATTCGAGAATCTACTATGCGAAAACAGCAAGAGAATAAGATAATAAAATTTCCAATTTGAAGGAAATCACTTGTAACGGACCACTCTGATTCAGGAGAAGCTTCATTGGTTAGCTAGTGCAAGATCATGCCAAGCATCAGCATCAACTGGTTGAGCCTCCTGATCTGTCAAGAAGTTACGAGGTAGAGGGAATCAAAGATGATTTCTACTGCAAATAGCTATAATTGGCAAAATAATATAGAAACAACCGGTAGATTTTTTATATAATTTAGATCTCGTATGATGATGGTTTCATTTCTAGGTTTCTTCCTCACATTTTCTTTGGTATATTTCCACATCTCCTTAAAAACATACTTGAGTTCTTAGCCAAATTAAAAAACCAAAACTACTTTTTGAAAACTACTTTTTTTTTTTTTCGTTTTCAAATGTTAGCTTAAATTTTGACAATGTTTCTAAAATATAGATAGCAAAATACATTGATGAAATGAGTGTTTACTAACTTAAATTTCAAAAACTTACAAACCATCACAAAACTTAAAGCAATATCTTTAAGAAAATATTAGAAAGGTAAAAACTAGAAGAAAGAAGAAGAAAAGACATCGGGCGACAGAAATTCAGAGGCCAAAAATTCAAAAGATGAATATAAGGAGGAAAAGAAAGAGCTATAAGGGAAAAAATGGATGAGTTAAGCTTGAGCCTTCAGTTGTAAAACAGGAATTAACAACTAGGATCAGCTATGGCCAAAGAAGGAAAAAGAAATTTGAGTGCCTCCCTTGTTGTTGAAGATGAATTTTAGGATCATGGAAATTGGAAAAGAAAAAAACCAGAGGCTTGACTAAGTCCTTGCCACAGAGGCATCCACTTGATTTCTAACTTAGAAACTTCATGTATCAATGCAAATACATGCTTCACTTTAGAATATGTTATCAAAATTGAGATGAGAGAAATACTATTTCCATGTGTTTCTAATTAAAGATTGAGCTATAAGTTAGAAGACATACTTGAGTCCTCAGTGTCATCGGTCCGAACAACCAGCACTGGCGGGAGTAGAAGATCTATGATAATGATAGAACAATGATACAAAATAAGCAATGACAGTTTGTTACAATTCCTTTCTTAATAAAGGCTGAGAATTACCATCATGAGGGAGTGTGTCTCTCATCCATTCCTCATCTAGAACGTCTATCAATATACCCAGACTAAGTTCTGCCATCGTGTTTTCTTGTTAGGGGAGATCCCAAAGCCCAATATCTGAAATTGGAGATAGATATAAGAGATTAACAAAAACTTCAAAACTATGGCACGCACAACGTATAGATCAATCTAAGATACACAAGGAGAATAGAGACTTGGTTCTCCAGATCCTCAAAGATGATGAAATCCTTGATAAAGAAATTCAAAAGCCAAGAAATACCCCTATATCTGGGATATGTATGTGATATAGCATTTCAACATCAACAAGGCTGAGTAATAGAAAACGCAGAATTCATTCTCAGAGCTTGAACTTTTTACTTTTAAGCACACAAAATAGAGAGCAAAAAGGATAATGAAACCAAAGGGCCATTTCAGTTCAGTCATCTATTTAGGCAAAATAGAAGATCCCAATTATCATTTCTTGCTGCAAACAGTGAACGGGTTACGGCACGTCAATGATCTGAAGACTTGCAATAAGAGAACCATATGTCGCAGAGAAAAAGTAATAAGGCACAAACAAATAAATTTACCGGAAAAGGGCCGATCAGACAGTGAACAGGAAGAAAGGAGGACACAGAAGACAGAGAAATGAGAAACAGAGTGGCGGAGAAGGAAGAGACAGAATCAGACCTTTGAATCGTTGGAAAAACAAACGATGCTAGACTTTGAA